TTTTGTATACTTTTCTAATTATTGTAATTACATCAGACTCTAATTGCATAGAAATGTTGCACTCGTTCCCACAATAAATAGTTGGCCGACACAGCAGAAATTATTTAATCAACGGCTAGCTTTCACTTACACCACTTCGACGTTCACGCTTGTCATCGAGCTTTCCACGGTAAAAGTTCTCTTGATAATTATACGCGTTGTGGAATTTTCTTGCATGCTTTGTTGTATGGGTTATTTTAAAACTTGCATGAACCGTTATCTATTACCTATAGTGATGTCTTTGTCACACGAGCGAATGTTAAATTAGCCGAGGCAGTGGTGGCATTTATCTTAGTGCTACTTGTTTTTATAAGTTGAGTCTATTAACCTTGCTGTGAACAAAGTTGCGTAACAAAAAATATCAAAACAGGTCCAATCTAAAGCTTCCATAGTAACAAATTCAAATTACTCATAAATTATGTCTATAGAAATTATTTTGGATTTGTATACCCACCACGGAACTAATTACAATCTTCTGTTATATAGCCCTGTCTTTATATTAAAATAAGATTTCAATGTTGGTAAGTAATTGACACGCATATATATATATTATAATTGTAATGTATAATTATTGCTAGTTGAAGGTATTTCTCTGACATGCAATAAACAAGCAACACTAAAAACATAATATAATAACGCCCGACTCGCATCAAAAGGAAGGACTGTATAGCTGAAAACATCATAATCACATGATAATGAATTTGAATTATAGGGACCGTGTTTCACCGAAGATAAGACCTAGCCTGAATTTTAAAAATGATTCCAATATAAGCCCTCCCCTTGAAATAAGACCTAGTCGATAGCAAGAAATCTCCCCTACACGTTTTGAATGATTAATAATCTATGTTTATCAGTATTTTTTTCAAATAAAAACGTGTTATTTATAAGTAAACGGATATCGGTTTTCATATTTTGTATATTTGGAAGTCTCGTAATTCTCTACTTTGTAATTTTGTTTTTGTTAAATGAAAATAAAAGACATCCCCGCAAAATAAGCCCTGGCATTATTTTCGAAAGAAAATCGAAAGAGGACCCTGTCATATTTTCGGGAAAATACGGTAAGCCACAATTCTTGATGCTAGAAGCGTATAAATTGCTAAGCTGGTAGCGTGTGATTACGCATTTGAAATTCAACGATTTTAAAGGTTATAAATGCGGTGTGAGACAGGTGAAAAACAGGATAAGTATAATAAGCCAGTATAGTATTTGAAAAAATCATTTCCAACAATCTCATTACTCATTCGCCAAATAGCAGTCGAGGCCATTTTGTGCCATAACACGTTATGGCGTGATTGTCGATATATATATCACCTGAAATTTAGCCACTGTCGAGCAAAATTTTATCACGATGCCGACGCCTATAGTAAATTGACTTGCGATAAGACAGGTCAAACACAATCATCTAAAAAACGAGAGGAACATGGTGGCATAACAACGCGTGTGTGGCGAATCAAGTCGGCTTATTTCAACAAGTGCGAGACACCGAGACGCCTAACGCTCTTCCGAGAGAGAGAATTAAACCGGAAAAATTTTGCCGGCGAGATACTAACAAATGAGGTCACACACACATGGCAAAAAGGCAGCTGTAAATGCTGCCTTAAATTTTTTTTCGGAGATTCAACACCTCGTATGAATGACGTATGACGCATCATGCCGTCTATCTAGTTATTCTAGAGAGGTATAACATCACGTAAACCAATAAGGCGAATAAACTGATTCAACACGTGCGAAAGACGCCTGAAGAAAGGTGGCGCCATTTCGCATTTTGCTAAGATTACTGACAGTATACCACGAAGAGCGATTATAAGTGATCATATATAGTAAGTATATTCAAATGATAAGGCACATACTGAATTAAAATTAACTCTACCTCCATGTCCACTTCACCGAAATAGCGACATGACACGCTTCACGACAGATTAGAAGTTCTAATGTCCTCGTTAAAATCAAGATTTTTGACCGATCAAAAAGACTAGTCAAACGTTGGCACGATGGCGAGGTTCTATAAATTTGGAATTGCTGGTAATTTCTACTTTTGTTCATTCGTGGAATTGTCGTAGATATAAAAATCACGGAAAAAAAGATAAAACATGTTTCCCCATGCTGCTGAATAAGTGCATTTTAAAGTCATGAAAATGCAATGTTTTTAGTTTTGTTTAGAGATACTCAATATTTTTATAGTTTCATCTATTAAATTTAGAACCACATGTATGACTTATTGAATAGTGATAGTTGCGAATTAAATTAAGACTCTTTCTGAAATCTTCTCAATGATTTTTCCATTTTGAATGTGGAATTAGATTGTTGATAATCTTCCATAATAATGAAATGTAATTCCTTTACACATTTTACTTTTCAACCAGCTATCAAATAGTAGTCCAATATTCCCGCTATTCCTCATTTTACTTTTCAACCAGCTATCAAATAGTAGTCCAATATTCCCGCTATTGGGACCATACCTACACGTAACTTGAATTGTTTCATGTTTATTATCAGCGACCAGTTGACGCGTAGCGCGTCCGTTACAAGCTGTCGCATTGGACACCTCGAGCAATATACCAATTTGACACTTGCACGGATATCGTGATGGACGAGGTGTCTCATTAGGCCGATAAATATCAGAGGTCGTCAGCCGGTATAGGCGCCAACGTTGCTAACGCGCTGGTTCTCTCCTAATTATAACTTAAAAATAAAGTCTAAAATTTGGAAAACGTGAAATGCCACACTTAATAGAATTTGTCACATGATATTAAAAGTACAGTGATTTTTCATTGCTTCCTTAAAATCTTCATGGCCCACACAAAATGGTTTGCAAATTTATGCTCATGTATATATGTTCACTTCCCGCTTGAGTGACGTTTCGAATGCGTTGATCTCCATACGATCTATCACGGGAGGCGCGAACTTTGCGTTATCCGACAACAATGGTAGTTTAAATCGTCCGTGTCAAAATGACACTTAATCCTGGCGCCAGTACGGCGCGACTTTGATTGCTAAATATCCCTCTTTCTTACCTCTGCAATCGCCTCTAGACTTGCGGGGCTTAGTTCTCTCAAATGGTTTAACATTCGTCTCGTGTTTCGATTAATTCTGCACTTAATCGGCTTGTTCGCTTGCTGTCGTTCGTAATTTATATAAACAGGCGCATTTGACACGAACAAAGTATAGTTTGAACTAAAGAAATGTTAAGGTTCTGAAGTATGCATGATTCAAAATCATTCACATGTGTAACCCACTATATAATACAATCAAAATACGCCCGAGTTGCAATATCACATGTGGAAGAAGCATTTCCGCCACCATTGAAAAATGTTTTTTCAAGTTATTTTAATTTAATTTTGCCCACGAGGTACCAGCAAAAACTACTATTTGTAAACAGAGAAAAATATATTTTTTAAATGAAGCTGAAGGAAAATGTTTCACTTGATTCTCTTATTGGAAGATTTCATGAGTTAACTGCTGACACAAATGACTGCGGTGACTGGCTGGCGCCGATGCTAAGGAAGTAACGATGACCCCTTTAAAATATTTCAGATATTTTTCGTCTGGGAGTCTTGGGGTTTCAGCTGTTCTGCCACTCTGACGCCAGCTTGGCAAAGTGGAATTCACGGCGTCTCTGTGAAATTGTTGAGTAAACAACGCACAAATGCTAAGCTAAGCATGGAAATGGTGTCGCCGTTGCTTTGGTTCGGTCATTAGAAAAGGATAATTAGAGTATATGAAGAAGGAATGAATGAAAAGAATATTTTCTGGTTGTCATTATACAGTTTACAAATTTTCATTGAGCCGTTAAACTTGTGTTGGCGGCGAACGGCCTGTGATGAATCCGCGTACGAAGAAGGCGCCAACGAAAGTCTTTTTTTCGATACCGGAGACAATACACCGCTGTAATAATAGCTTTCATGTGCTGTTTAATGCCACTCGGAAGACCTGTACAATAGCGATGTGTTCATCCCAGGCGTAACACTCTAATTCCTAGTGTGAGACCACCCCGTCTGGCTTCGCGTCCGTCAAGCTGACGTCGAGAAACAGGTGGTTTGAAATGCCTATGTCGTACGCGGTATTGCGAGAAATAAAACACAATATGTAACATAACATGTTCATAGGCAATTCCCACAAATTTAAAGTCTGAGAATAATGAATAGTTGTAGTTGTAAACATGTATTTTTGTTTTAACTCACGAAGATGATTCTTTTTGTAGAGGTAAAACTGAATTATGGTTAGTGTATTCCTTTTTTATTTTAATTTTGGATTATTAATGAATTATTCACACAACACATTGTCATACAGGCTCTTCATTCAATCTTGAACTATTGATTATACTGGTACAGAAACACGTGGCTTGGGAAAATTTCCCTGTATCAATGAAGATATCAATTACAGTGAGACTACAGACACACGGTAGACATTGTTCATGCTAGATAAAATGTGAATTAACCAAATGCATTCAAGAGTTGGCGAACATTGAAGGAACAATAAACGTAAATCATAAGATTGATATATGATATAATAAGTCCGCCATTTATTTTGAAGTAGAAAAATTCACATCCACAAGATAATAAAGAAATATTACAATTTACACGACGAACACGCAGAACGGAAAATACGGGTGCCACCAATATTAGGCCCGTTTTCAAATTTTAAAATTATACACACTATACATACCATAAGTGTATGTTTGAGGTACGGGGGCATTGCGAAAAGACTGTATAGCATCTTAAGTAACAGAGATTGTTTACATTGTTCAATACCGTGTTAACGATGAAAAAAGATGGCACGTCATCTGTTCTGAAACGGAAAATAAAATTACCACAATCGAGTCAAACTAATTGACGATCGATGGTGAAGCAGATTAGCGGCGCCAGTATTATGTTGTTGGTGTGATCACAAAGTGGGTCGTCTATTGTGCTTTGGAAGTGAAAGTGTGAAACTACAAACAGGTACAAACCCTGCGGAAAATGAATACATTCGTATCGTAAATTGTTGTATGCCGATTTGACTATAGTCGTCTCCGATGTGTACTTTAATGGTTCAGAGCGGCGCTAACCAGAACTACGGGGAATTAGACAGTGTCAACACATGTTTGATACCCAAACATCTGAGGAAGCCAATGGTTGCTTAATAATTACTATTTTACGATTTGTATTTGAACTTGTATATACGACATTGAACGCCTTATTATGCTATCTAAATTTTAACTTTTATTGGGCAATTCGAACAAAGCGAATATGTGCGTCCATGATGTTTAAAGTAAGAACTGTGAGATGTGAGAGAGAGGTAGAAAAACAATTTTAGGTCTGACTGACACTATGACATTCAGAAAGATTGACCGAGACGTGCCGATGCTATTTTCAGAACTTTTATAAGTAAATATCCTAACCTCCTGTTTTCAAACGCGAACCAAATTTCAACAAATCTTTTTCGCGGTTAGGTGGTCTACATTCTAACGTATGACACGCTTGGCGTTGCTACGTTCAAGTGGGCATTTCAAACTTACTTAGTTGAAATCTCCTCTATCTTTGACATAGTCAAGAATGGGCTATGGAAGCAAGGAGCAGAATTAATTATTGCTCATCCTATATCTGGACACCGAGCTCTTGTCTAACTTTTATTTACGAATACTACTGCCTTAGCGTTAGATTTTATTCGGTGATAGTATAGATCAATGAATTCAGATCAGTAATTAGCTTATTTGATTGTTTAGTAACAAAGTTTAGCGGAATGGATTGGTGTTTTTATTGCTAAATATAGGTTATGTGCTCCTCTCACATAACAACATTAGTCCAGTTAAAAAGAAAAATAAGGAAAATGTCTGTCGAAAAATATAGATTTTCATATTACCAAGGCTAACGACCGGTAATTTAGAAATGTCTATGCCGGGATTTAGATCGCTAAAAGCCGTTGATTTTCATAATCATGTTGCGGAGGCGGCAAGGCACAGGTTCGCAAATAATAGTTACTGTGGTATTCTATATATATATAAATATGAAATATTTAGTATTTACAATGTTTATCGCAGAAGGTTAAAAAGTGTATACATATCTTCAATAACATGAATACGTCTTGCAGAAACTGATGCCTCAACTAGTTCATTGTTTTGTTTTATGGACCCACCAACGATACAAAAGGATGAACATGTGAGTAAAAATTATCGTTTCTGGAAAAACTAGAGTGCAGTTATAGTGAATTCTTTGTTGCAATACTTGCTCCCGAGGGTAGCAGAGATTTTTCACGAACAAAATACATTCATCACTATATTCAGTACTTCTCGAGGTATTCAATCAACACAATATCTCACAGTGACATGCTCCATGCAAAGTATGAAACCGAAATTAACAAAACTTATGATTAACAAAAAATTATGATGTACACTTTGTACTATAGCTTTTGAATATATATATATATATATATATGAATCATTGCGCGCATCGAAAATATGCATGAAAGGCAGTTAAATACATAAAATGAAATTGTCATTTCATTCGCAAATGAAGAAAAAAATAGTCAAATTGGACGAATTTTTCAATACCAATGCGCATTTTTTTCATCTCCCTGTTCTAGTAGGTGCTCACCGGCGAATACCTTGCAACTGTAAGGTGTGGCGTCACTTCTCCGTGAAATACTCGCAATTATTTTGACACACAATTTACAAAATGATAAATTACATGATGTATAATATTGAATATTAAAATCAGAAACTAAATCTGTTTGACCACAACCCGGTATGCCGTTGATATAAGGGGTGGACGTGAAAAATGATCATCCGAGAAAATTCTATCAATGTATCTTTTTAGGATTGAAATATCAAATATGTATTAAGATATTCAAATTCTCAGTCTAACAATGGTGTACTTATTTGAAAAAAAAAAACGTTATTCACTATATGTATAGAATTACATTGCCAAATGTTATAAAATAATGCTTGCTAGTCCCGCTCAAATTCAAATTGAATATCACAACATAGCAAGCAACTGTGCATAAAGTTAATCAATAACTATTGTACATATTTTATTTCAAATTGTTTCAATTCAGAATTTGGGCATCGATTCGACATCTAAATTACATTCAAGTTTAGCAGTTGTTTCTTCAGGAACTGTAATGACGGGAAATCTGTATACCTCGTAAGTGGTTTTTCATTCGGATTGAGAATATAGTGCATCAAGCAAGTAGTTCGCAGTGACAGAATTAATAGTAGAAAACAATTTAATGTTTTCTGATGCCTCGAATGTACAACAGATAATCTCCTTAACTTCAATAAACTATATAGAAAATTATATAATAACATTTCGTATTGCTTCCATATATATATATAAGCAAAAATGACTAATATGGACTGATTTGCATCCAATTTTAGTCACTATCATTTGGTGTTCTGCTTTTCACGAGCTTCATACTTGTGCATAATTTAGGATGGCGATTTGACTTTTACTAATGCAACTATAGCCGATAAACTATATGTATTTTGTTGCTAGAACGCCGTGCAGAGTGTTTTCAAATGTCGTTACGTCTTATCATCTAAAGAATGATCTTCTAAAGTGTAAACCTCAAAGTCCAACAGAGGAAACTCAACGGAATTACCAAAAATGTGACTTCCAAGTAAGGTCGCCTAATACTACCACCTCATATAGTATCAATGTTTCATTGCTGTCGAATTGATATCAAGTCAGAGCTTGCCTAGGTATTTCAAAATTACATCCGTTAGCTCTTTATTCTGTAGATTAGACCAGCTGTTGCGAGAGCGTTTACGTAGTCACCACAGAGAGCACATGCAGTGCTACCACACGGTCAATAGATTACATTTTATAATAATGAAATATAACGATTAAAGTCATATGTCGTCGACTGTTCTGTAGTAATATGTTTAATTGTTTTAAAAATGGACACGTGGCAGAGTGATGATCATGTGCAGAAAGAGACTGAATAAACATATATATATGACGGATGTTTAGAATAATGCATTTTGTAGGTGCTGTATTTTATAAAATAAATTTATCTTTGCATATATTTGAAAATGGCTGAATATTTCTAACGAAACCAGTCCATGAACATGTTGTTTGCACCAGGGATTGCTCCCACCATGACTTGCTATTAACAATATTGATAATAAGCAGTCCTGTTTACTACTGATGAAGTACATCTTTCTCATAAGTTGCTTTATATTCTGCCTGTATGCTTTTCTCTGCTTTGGATTAGTTTCGCTTTATTCCACGTTTGGGAAGCCTCGTTTTGGATGAGCTTGATATTTATTCATATAACTTCTTAGTCGAGTATTGTAGCTGCGAATGTTTTTTTGTCTATGTGGCCAATTTTTCCGACGGACAAATACTTACTAATGCTCTGTTGTGCAGGCGACATCGTCTGAGAGTAAACGGGAGCTCATGCCGTCAATCGACACGGCGCACGATATTTATGCAAAACAAAGTGGGCAAGAACGCAGAAACAGTAGAAACAAAGAAGAATCTGACAAACAAAGCACAGTAATGGCTAGGAAAACAACTTTAACTGGATACCTCAATGGATACATCTTTAATGCGTCCCACTGTGGAAGTTCAACTAAAAGTCCTGGACATAACAGCTATTGTATTGATCATAACGTTCGGGAGCTAAAATCATGTGAAAATATGAATGAAAACAATAACAGAATGGTACCAGATAAATCTCCGGATCCTACTTATGTTTCCCCAAAACAGCATGTTTTCCAGAAATTGGGAAAATCAGAAGAATATCATTTCGAATCTCATTCGGATGGCAATGTAGAACAACCAAGAGCTACAAAATTGTACCGGGAGAAAAAACATAATAATATCAATGTAACCGATGATACTTTAAATGGTAGTGACATTTTGCAAAAAATGTACGCTACGTTTGGGTCAGATGCTGCGACGATAAGTAGGTTACATTGCAAAGCTAACATAAAAAACAAATATACGCCAGACAGTCACTTGGAATCCTGCAATCCCACATTTAACAAATCATTCAGAAGAGATGAAAATGTTCAATGCACAAAATGTGATGACAAAATTCATAGGACCCGAGAAGAATCACAAAAAAAACAATCAGACAGGATTAATTATAATGAAAATTGTCGTCTTCATCCATCCATCGAGCTTGTCCAGCCTAAAAGTGTTTTGTGTAATTGCAGTTGCAATATTGACCTGCCAAAAACTATATCAAGTGAACAAATGGATTTACCTGGAGAAGAAATTATAGATAGACAATCGCAAAATAATGATTCGATCAATCGATACAACATCAAAAATTCTACGCGAATCTCTTCCGAAAATTCCCCCAATATGCATGCAAAATCTTCTTCTAAATTATCCTCTCATATCCATTCTCTAGGGGGCCCAGCAGAAACTACAGGTGTTTGCCGTGAAAATTCATATAAAATAAGCAAAACAAAGTACCCACTATGCCCTCGTAGAGACGAAGTGACAGACGCAAGGTGTGAAAATCGATTCCACCGAAAGCAAACTAATATTGTTATGAATAGCCGCCGTTATTCTTCTGACAAAAATTGTGAATCTAAACGAAGAACAATTGATTCTAACTATGAAGCTGAGCGTGACGCTAAATTCGGCCCAAATCGCACAAGAGGATCCAGCACTGAAAAAGATTACAATGAAAATGCAAGAGAAATTTTTCGTCATGATAAAGAAATAATCGAGAACTCTCTGCGACAGAATAAACGATTGGCATACGATAGCCATTCGAACGATTTTTCATTCCATTCCCCTTACTGGTTAAACGCTTCGACTTTAGCAGCCTTTCAAGCTAGTCTACTCTCTTCCCTTCCGCAAAATTTTCCGGGATCCATGAGTGACCATAACACGTTGCTACGGTCTTCTTTTTCCGCTGCTTCCGCGGGAAATCCGTTTGCGCTAGATGTGAATGCTTGTGTTTTAAATCCTTACTTTTACCGTGGCCTTCCTGGAAGCGAGGTAGGCGCAGCAGCTTATCACAATGCAGTTGTTCACGAAATACTTCGTAATCAAGCGACATTAAATCCCATGCTAGCTCCCGCTATTGGTGGGAATATAAGCGGATATCCAAATCCAAGTGCTTTCATGCACGGTGGTGTGCCGTTTCCTGAAACGTCCCCAATTGCTGCTGCAATTGCAGCCTCAATGAGGCAAAGCAACTCCTCTTTGTACAAAGAAATTCCATCGCAGTACCCCCACAGAAGCTGTAAACTGGACGACAAGGAACCTTGTTTACGCGGCAATATTGCATCCAAGACTGATAGAAACATTTCGTCGCCCCCGCCTTTTCGCGAAAGACGACTATTTGACTCGACGGTTTGTAAATCCGAAACAAAAAAACTCCGAATAAACTTCGAAACAAATGACGAAAATGGGAAAATTTCAAAACAAAGTTCAATTAATCAAGGATTTGCCAACAATGATAGAATTTTAACAAGTCGACAATGTGATTTGGAAGCTTCTTCTAGAGCGACTTCCCCAACCATGTCAAAGTTATCTCTGAAACGTAAATCACCCCCGCCTCCGGTAGAAAATCCTCCAGTCACCATAAAAAGAACGCGTACAAAAATGGATACGTCCTACCAAAAACCTACTGTAAATGAATTTTTACCTATAAATTTGTTGCCATCGAAAAACGAAGATGAAGATAAGACTCAACTAGAAAAACTGCCATTGGTAAGTTTTGTACTATCACCTATAGTCACAGTATTTCTTCAAACTTCGAGTTGTAATCAGGTTGCGTGCGATAAATTCAAAAACAAAACAGCGGGATGAATTGATATTGATAAATGAGGCGGCATATAAACGACCAATCCAAAAAATTCTAGAATAAAGTTTGAATGGATGTCGCCGTCCCACAATTTCAAAATCAAAGATATATCTAGTGATTAGTATAATGTCTACTAAAACGTTCTCACAAAATGTAAAAATCGACTATGACTTTTTAAATATGACGTTCATGCAGTTTAGTTTTTGTGTATCCTGTCCCATTATGAAGAGCAGTCCAAGCCTAATAAGGTTGTTTGAACTTATCTTCATGCGTACGTGCAGTAATTCGCTTAAAAATCTTCCATTTTTGCACCCCAGTTGTACATTTCCGGTCTAGTTCAACTCAAAAATTTCTGTTTCCGCTATTCTTGTTATCTGTTGTTTGTTTGATGATGTCATAAAGTAATACTGTCTGTCTGTACTATGTATTCTTAAACATTAACCAAGTATTGACCACATATCTGTATCTGATTGTGATCATTAAATAATCAGATATTCTGTATTTATTATTATTTTTTTAATGTTAGATTTTATTTTAGGTCACCAATACAGTAGAAAAATGTCCTTCCAGTAGACCACCAACATACAAAAACTTGACTCGAGAAAGGCGATTAGTTGCAAATGCTAGAGAAAGAACAAGGGTCCACACGATTAGTTCTGCATTTGAAGACTTACGACAGCAAATTCCAAGTTATTCGTGCAATCAAAAGTTGTCTAAACTTGCAATTTTGCGGTAAAATTATGTCGTATTTGTCTTCGGATATACGATTTATTCCACTTTCTTTTCCTGTTACTGGTTTGAATTGAGATGTAAAATTTTCTTAAATTCCGCCAATTTAGTTATAGTTTATTGCTATTTGTTTCTTACCAATAATACACTTTCAATACAATAAAAGGCTTTATTTCAAATACGTCCAAGTTTCTGAACGCATATATTCCGGCAAAAACTTTCATATTACATTAATTTATGTTGGTATTTCTAATTTCAGAATTGCTTGTTCATACATTCAGTCATTATCCGTGTTGGCCGGGAGAAGTTCCGGAGGTACTTTTAAAGAGAGTGTTGATCAGTGTACTCGTGTTTTACAGGTAGGTACAAATATATTTTTAAACTATGAGAATTTCGGTGTTCGTTAAAATATGTACCATACAATTGATTCTTGGACCATTTATACACACATAACCTAACTGTGGGTCAATTCCCTTTGATAGATTAAAAGTGTTACTAAAATTTTTGTAATAGATTTATTTCATATCAATTCAGCTTTTGACCTATATACTTTTGGTAAAACCTATCATATAAAGTTTAATGCTACTCAGGCCGAAAGTAGAGCAAGATCGCGAAGGAAGAGCAACAAAGCACAAATTGAGTGGGAAGTGACAAATTATGAGACAGCTCCATCCGACAAAGATAACAATCCGTATGCAAACCCATGCCATTCAAGACGGTCTCATGGGGCATCCGTGACGATCGCTCATCATGTTACTGCCGCCAAATCTTTGTCTCGTGAATATACTGCACAGGTGGATGATGAGAAACCTAATCGCAAAAATGATGAGTCGCATTCTCAATCTCATAGAGAATTCTCTGGGGACAGTTATTCCTTTAATATCACTCGGTCTGATGAATCAAACGACTCTTGCAATGAATCGAACGAAAATGCGACTGCAGATAACGTGTCGACAGCGGACGACAGCTTGAATGCGTGCAGTGAACAGATTAACGGATCGCCAAAAAGTGATACAGATCATAGTACCTGGCCTAGTCCGCTGCATTGTCCCTCTGGGGATAGTTCCGCAACCACGAACACATGGCGTGATAATATCCGCACCGCATCTGCAACATTTACTTGCCCCATTTTCAGAAATACTAACACGAAACATATCAATGACTGTGATTCGGATTGTGAAATGCAATCTCACGTCAAACACGTAGATCAGCAAAATGATGTAATAAATGTAGAAGATTGAAGTGAGAAATAGGCGTCAGACATGGTATACAATATGATGTAAGTGAAATTTTCCCTCATCAATACTGCCATGTTAACTCATGTTGAACAGCGATTAATATGTTTATTGATAAATTGAGAAGTGGTAAATAATTTCATATTACGACATTGTCATTACGATTAGCTCAATCATGCTGTTGCTGCATTCAACATTGAATCATTTTGATTTGTTCTAGATATAGTATAAATTCATTGAAACAATCCTTCCAAGCAGCTACACCGAAGCATGTTCCATTTGCAAATTATTATTTTTCGAGCTGCATTCTACTCTATATTCATGTGCAATATTTTTGTCAAATCGTTAATATTTTTAAAAATTGGCAATGAAAATATTTGAATAAATATTTTCTGTGTGTATTTTATCAAGTTATTATTACGCCAGTGATTAGCAAGTGATTTCGAACAGACTTGTCTGCTGATAGGGATACCGCCGAAATAATCAATTTCTGAACGTTGGTGATATGAACAGAAGAAATCGGAAGAACGTATTTCGGGAAATTTGACGTGGTGATATTTAATAAAATTGAAATTGCTATAAACAAAATTTTGGTTGCATTATCGCTTATTTTACGTCTCAGCCCGGCTCTGATACCTTTAAGATGCCTATTCATAAAAAATATATCATTAATTCATAAAGGAAATTTTTACTAATTTGGAAGTGAACATAGCGGAATTCATATACATTACATCGATATACGTAATATAACTTATAATTTGAAACAACAACAAAATGTCTGAATCGCCAATGTCCCGGCTTAATTTTACAACCGGATTTCCTCAAATCAAACATTGCTCTTCAAATTGGCAATTCGTTGAAATAATGCGTTTAATGTGAAATTGATTGAAAACTCAGATAAAAGTCTTATCGCACCATTTCGAGACATTCTGGCACCAGGTTAATCCCAATCTCTCGTCTCAAAATGAACAAATCGCTGTGACCAATGCGAATATCTGAAATATAAACAAAATACCATGCGAGATCATTTAATGGGGTTATTGTGACAGTTTTTTGTTCTCAATTCTTCATGTGACAAGTGAACTTCTTTTGAAAAGTTTTAAATGCAACGGGTATATTCTTATTTGTTATAAACTGCCGTAGTGTTTAAAGTAGTTACTTGCAACAAATTTATAAGATCGAATATTTTGCCCATTCATTCCTTTTCAATGTAAACAAATAATTGGCAGTTGTAAATTTTTGAATAGTTCAAAGAAAAAGTTATTGACTCATTAATGCCTGAAGCAAACATGGGCAAAGTACGACCCGCCTAAAGTGTCACTTGAAGTGGTAAGATTATAAACGCACAATATTGAAAAATGAAAACGATAAGTCAAATTTTTATAAATTAGATTAGTTCTGTTTTTCTGTATCAGGTTTTAATATTTGCACCCTTTCTAGGTAGTTTTTATCATACAACACTTATTTTATCTGCCATTCACTTTGAATAAGGATATATGCAAGGTACCACTGCTATAGATGATGTTACATCCAGTGGTGGAATTCAGCCGGTTCGCACCGGTTCTATAGAACCGTCTCACGGAATTTTATAAGATCAGCGAACCCGGTCAGCATTACTAAAAAAACATGACTTTTTGTAACCGAACCGGCTGAAACATATGACTTTTGTGGTGGAACCGGCTGACAAAAAATTTGAATCCCACCACTGGTTACACCCCGTGTCAGGTGGTTCTTTTAACCTGCGATGTCAGCACAGCTAAGTCCACTGCTATGATCAATAATAGATTTTCCACCAATAAAATCCAAAATCATAACTCGTATATGGTGCAAAATTTTTTCTTTTTAAAATTCACTCTCGCTACTGTTTTACCATTTTAAACAGGACAGTAACATCGTGTTTCAGTCTCCTAATAAGTACCAAATGCAGACAGAAGCGGTATTTAGTAAAAGCTAATTATGGCATTGAAACGAAAGAGTGCTCCACACCGAACATTCTCTACATGATCGCCTATCTTGCACATAATAAAACGAGAAAACACGAAAATGCAGCTTGCGGTGGCGGTCAAGTAATAATTTCAAAAATTCAAATCAGATGTTCAGGGCTATTAACAGGAGAACGAGTAGTTTCTGGGAAATTTATATTTAGATCACATTAATATTTATCCGAATTGCAAAAGTAACAATGGAGAGACGTAATTGAAAAAGGGTTAATCAAAAATGAGTACAACGTTTATACCCAAGGTCCATTGATAGCCCATGCATCTTACAAATATCCAATCTGTGAACTAGATGCTATCAAAGTCTATTCAATGGCCTATATTACCTTGGCAACAACATATCATTTGTATCAAAGCAAGGTAGTTATAATCGTAAAGCTAACAATGATTCGAGATATTTTACATATCATCAATAATATTTTCATTGTACTTTCGCCAACCAAATGTCTGCGGAAATCCGCGGGTAATTTTTTTCTTAATTAAAACGTATACCGGACCCTGTTTCAGGTACCTGTTTGCGTTTGTGCGACTCACGGAAGTTTGTTTCATTTATTAAATTTCTGATCAATACCCAGGTTTTTCTCCCCTTATTCAGCATAAGACGGAACTAGATTAGACAATCTTTCATAGGGGGATGGAAAGTGGTGGGAAAATAAAAAAAAAGTATTAAGTATATATATTTATAAATGAAATATGCAAATGAAATGTCGTCGACCCTCAATTCTTATTGGATATTTTGATAATTGACATATGAAATTTTGTATAACAAAGGATAAAAATATCCTTAACTACTGATCGTAATTATAACTGTTTATTTATAATCCTACACGAACAGGGTTAGTAACCGGGAAACAGGCCGATGTTAACTGTAAATCTATTATAAATTCTACTGTTGCCTTATACTGGTTTGTTACCAAACTTACACCCAAAGGACTTCTTCTAATCAAATAGTAGTTCGTTATAATTAATAAAAAACGTTAACGTTTCGTTTTCAAAATATTTATACATAACTGTGTCGTAATATTTTGTATGCAATAGTTTTTTTTATATGAATTCTTTTCTTTATTTTACAAAATATTTCTACTGTTGATATAATTATTATTTATATTGAGATTTGATCAACCGTGTTATACATTACATTTCCGTTTGCAATAAAAATTAGAAGGAATGTACAATATACCGCATGAATAAATTTATCTCTTAGATTTTCGTTCGTTATACGACAGATTTAATGGATTATAACTTGGTTCCGTGATCTGCGAACAAATCTGTTCAGCAATAATAATTGACGGCGCGTAAAAGGTTAAGGCGTTGGGCGCGTCGATCGCAGACTACCGGAGCCGAAGTGTAAAGCGAAACGGGAATACAGACTAATGCGCTGACAAGCGAGTAATGTAGTGTTAGTGTTTGAACGCGTTTATTGACCGATCTGGCCTCCCGTTGAACAGGTGGTGAGTGGCGCCACACAGCCGGCGTTGCGGTTCTGGAAGAGTTATTTGTTGTCGCCGCCGTAGCCCATTATTTAAACCTATCTCAGACCCGTCAAAGAATCATGGCCTCTTTTCTCTCTTCAATCACATTTACTACGATGTGGATACTCAACAGCATTTGTCTCTTTAACTTCTTGTTTGTAGCTTTTCTTGTTTTCATTCAAGAAGGAATCTCTCGTTTTCTGTCGAGTCGCCATTTTTCAAATTTTTATCGAGTAATGCCTCGAGTTATTCACCCGCGACTGTGTGTTAAATTTCGCTAGAAAAATGACAAACAGACCGAATTTACATCATACTTATCTCGTTAAATATTATGAATAATCAGAATTAGTGATTTCTGAACACAATCTAACACGACGTCAACAAAATAAGTATTACCTTTGGTTGTTACAAGCCGAAATGAGAAATACAATGTAGTAAATTTGATATTCATGCGACGACAAGTTTCATATGCCAAAGCAAATGCCAAATAAATTAATATGAAATATTCTGTGAACCGAAAATTTTTATCATAACAGAACAAGATAAGAATGATGATAATCAAAATGAAGAGTTTCTACCGTATAAAAAGTTTAGCAAGTAGTAAAACTTTGTGTGAAGATTTGTGCGGCCAATGTTCGACAAATACCTATATCATAGGAAATTACAATTATATTACTGTATATTGTGGTTTTACTCAGTAGCCACAATAATTCGCCAAACAGTTAGTAAATAATTTAATTTACCACATAATAATATTAGAGGTACATTAACATATTCTTCACAACTGTGCGTGGTAGTCACCACAGTATTATATACTTAAATATGAAAATCACCTTGAATGATAACTGAGTACAATCACCATTTGTTGTAAGTAATGCAGTAATTTGAAACATTGAGAGTTTTGTTTTTTAAACGTGTTTGAAAATTGTGACATCTGCCGATCGTGGCAAATTTTTTATGTCTGTATTTGTTTTGGTGTTTTAAATTTACTAAACACCACATTAGCATGATCAAACATATCTTTATAGCACATCATTGAATAGTTTGTTTTCACGATTTCAAAAATGGCAACCTCCGCTGCGCAGATGTTTGAAAAGTATTTGTTACGTTTCTTAGTTCAAGCTTGTAGAATTTTAAAACCAATTTAGCAATATACCAAAAAAGGTTTTTACTTTATTGTAGTACAACCGTAGTTACTTCTTACCTATTTATATAATTAACATTATATGAAGCCCGCAAATATCTAAATTTATTATCATTGTCCTACATGGTAGACAAAATTAACACCTAACGCTTTTTGGGGCGGAATTAGAAAAGCATGAGTTCGATCCTCTTTGATATTACCTTCCGTTACGGTTATGTGTTTACCGATATGCCAGACGCAAATAGCTAGCGGCCTTATAAGCAGCCGTCACATTGGCGCCGCTTTGACTGTTTGTGGTCACCCCTCTGTGTGCTCATCGCGTCACTGATCAAGAAAACATTTGTTTTCTGGATATCGCTCTTGAAACGTCTCGCGTTTGATATCAGGTTTTTTGTTGATACACAGTCAAGTACCTCACCGATGTACTTCCGAATATACTTTTCAACGTGTTTATGAAAAGTTGAACCGCGACAACATTACTAAGGTAGAAATAAATGAAAAATGTCGTTCTTTGAATTGGGTAAGGCGAGGTAATAAATACCTCACAGATTACAATTATTTTAATTTTATTACTCATATAATTGTGAATACGTTTAAATAATAAATATAGAGTGATAACGAGATTTGTCTTCTGAACTTACGATAATCTCTGTACCATTGGCACAAAATCAAACTCAACAAACCACCACTTGAATTAAATTCGGACAAATGCGATGAAATCCAATATTTGTTTGTAATTACGATCACGTCAAAACTTTAATTTCTGGGGCAAACGACTCATGAAAACA